ACTGACCAAGCTAAATATAGTAAATAATAAGATAAAAACAACAAATTGCCATTGTTTTTGTCACAAAATTAGGTTTTGTTATGCTCTCTCTCTCCCTTACAAACACACATACAGTACAGAGACACACATGCACACAGAAATGTATTGTCAGCGCTGCTCTGATGATTTGATCAGTAAAATAGTTTAGCAACTTTAAAGCTACATGGCATTTCTCACAAGCGAGGTAATAACAGCGCTCTTTTTGAAGATAAACTTACAGTTTCGCCAATAATAGAGACGCTGCTGCAGAACATGGTTGAAAGACACACAGGTAATAAACACACACTTAATCTCTCTCATAACTGCATTAAAAATGGCATCATCAACGGCTGTCTTCAATTTCTCTGTGTACTAATGCCTGTGGTGTTGGAGAGCAGTGAGATCGGTGCTTTGCCGTGAATAAATGTTATCAAATGATGGGAAAATTGGCAGTGGCAAACCTGATAAAGTCCAAGCTAGTTATTTTATTACTTAATATGTTCAGATTTGGAATTATAAACATTGTTAAATTACAGCATGTTATCACAGTGTTACTCTAATAGTTACAATGCATTGATGAGGAGTCTATATTATGTATTTAATTAAGTGAACACCAGTGTTATTAAGACACACACAGACATCAAGAACCAGCATATGAATCTCAACAATGGTGACAATCAACAAAATGCTTCATGCTGCAATGCATGCTGGGTAACACCATAGTAAAAACTCCCATCATGCACTGCAGCATGAATAATTTAACTCCCATCATGCACAATGGCATTTGTTTAATAGTACCTTTTTTCTGTTCTGTAACAGCTGAATGTAAGTCAATATACTATAGAGAGACACCTTCACAATATTCACAAGTGAGGTAAAAGCGGAACATGTAAGCTGCTTCCTCAAGCTATTAATTTGGCAATGTGCAAATACACAATTATTTGTTGTAAATCAATAATGTAACTATTTAAAAGCAACCAACTTTGTATTATTAATAGGGTCAAGAGCCCAACTAAAGCAAACACTGATCTCCATGATGGTGCCATCATTTTAACCAATAAAACATCAACATCTGATCCTCTGTAATTCTCAATAACAGCAGGTGTTCATCACTAATGCACAATCATCATTTAATTAGTCACTAATTAAATGATGATTGTGCATTAGTGATGAACACCTGCTGTTATTGAGAATTACAGAGGATCAGATGTTGATGTTTTATTGGTTAAAATGATGGCACCATCATGGAGATCAGTGTTTGCTTTAGTTGTGTTCTTGACCCTTCACTTCTTATCTTAAATTTCTCTGTGTACTAATGCATGTGATATAGGAGAGCAGTGAGACCAGTGCTTTGCCGGGAATAGCTGTTATCAAATGACGGGAAAATTGTCAGTGGCAAATTTAATCAACTCCAAGCAAGTTATTTTATTATTTAATATGTTCAGATTTTGAATTATAAACATTGTTAAATTACAGTATGTTATCACAATGTTACTCTAATAGTTACAATGCATTGATGAGGAGTCTACATTATGTATTTAAATAAGTGAACACCAGTGTTATTAAGACACACACAGACATCAAGAACCAGCATATGAATCTCAACAATGGTGACAATCAACAAAATGCTTCATACTGCAATGCATGCTGGGTAACACCATAGTAAAAACTCCCATCATGCACTGCAGCATGAATAATTGTCACCACTGTTGAGGATCATATGATAAGTGTTCATGCCTAAAAGCCTGAACAATATGTTTACCCTTTCATTCAATATTTATTTATTATGGTGGCATTTGTTTAATAGTACCTTTTTTCTGTTCTGTAACAGCTGAATGTAAGTCAATATACTATAGAGAGACACCTTCACAATATTCACAAGTGAATTAAAAGCAGAACACGTAAGCTGCTTCCTCAAGCTATTAAGTTGGCAATGTGCAAATACACAAATATTTGTTGTAAATCAATAATGTAACTACTTAAAAGCAACCCACTTCGTATTATTAATAGGGTCAAGAGCCCAACTAAAGCAAACACTGATCTCCATGATGGTGCCATCATTTTAACCAATAGTATACATTTAAGATAAAGATACAATAATCTGCAGCATAGTTAAAATATATTGTTAATGTTATTCCTAATTAAGGCCCTTGGTGAACCTTTACTATGAGTTGGTTTGTAATGATGATTAAATGTGAACATTGTTTAAGTACCACTAAATGCTCCTCAGATCTCTGTAACTTCACAATGAAGTCCAGCAGTGTCTTTACAACTGCAGTGTGGTCATCGAC